AGCTCCAACTATTACAACTATTACAACCAGTATGAAGAAGGGGCATGTTTCTGACATCGGAAGAGGCTAATGGTTTTCAATTCTGGCAGCTTCAACTGATTTCCAACCCCTTCAAGTCAAGAAGAGACCTTTCCTGGTACATCTTTTAGGAGATTTTTTTTTTCTCAGCCTTATTGCAGGTTTGTTCTGCCTTACCTTATTTGGATACATGAAAAACTCAATGATAACTGTGTTGAGGAAATTTTGCTCTGATTTGTTCCTGTCAAGCCTAATCACCTTAATTTGAGTACTCATAGGGTTGTAGGAAGGCAACTCTGTACATATGTGATTCAGGTTTTCCTGAGTACAGCACAGATTAGATCTATTTAGCAGAGAAAACTTGGTGGGAGGGGGATGCAAGGCAAAGAAAAAAGTCCATAATTTTGAAATTAATTTCAAGCATTTTTCAAATGAAAATTTCTAGTTTTTCTTGAGAAGGAAAAAAAAAACAGAAAAAACCCTTCCCCATTTAAAAATATCAGTCATCATAAATGCAACTTTTCATATTAAAAAAAAATAGGGGGAAGTAGGTATTTTCTATAAAATGTTAAAAAGGCAATTTTCACTATAGCTTTGACATAGATTTAAATTGATCTCTCATAAATATAATGATCAGAACATGTTTTACTGGTCATTAATGATGTCATTCATTAGTACTTGTGAAGTGTTAATCAAGAAACAAAACAGTTAAGTGAATCACTTGTTCCAATTAGTAGGCATACTTTAGATGCAAATTCCTCAACCCACAAGCAGTTTGAATAGTAGCTACTTAATGATAGCTTTTATTTATTCTGAAAGTGTTGTAAAGTAAGATGATGTTCACCTGGGCTAATACAAGGTGTGGGTCAAGCAGCCCAACTCATGCATCCTCCTTCCAGCTGTGCACTCAAATCCCTATCTAAAGCTGGGTGCTTCTGACCTCCTTCCTTCCTTCCTTTCCTTCCTTCCTTTCCTCCTTTCCTCCTTTCCTTTCCTCCTTTCCTCCTTTCCTCCTTTCCTCCTTTCCTCCTTTCCTCTTTCTGTCCTTTCTTCCTTTCCTTCCTTCCTTCATTTCCTTTCTTCCTTTCCCTCCTTTCTTCCTTTCCTTCTTCCCATCCTTTCCTTCCTCCCTTCCTTCTTTCTTTGCTTGCTTCCTTCCTTCCTTCAATTCTGCTTTCCCCCTCCCTTGGTGGCTCATTTGAAAAGCAGGGTGCTGCGCAAAGGGTGGCTGACTTTCCACCCACCCTCCATGAGGGTGGCTGAGTACTGAGTGAAGAATGCCTGTTATGCAGTGTTGGTTCCCTGTCCTCTCCTGTGCCGGTAAGGTGGCCCTTACAAGCATGGATCCTGGGATTTAAATTCTCCATAATTTTGTTTTTCCGCTGTGTGGTAAATGAAACCCTCTGTTTAAGCATTTCGGTCTCTGGCAGAAGGGGTGGGTTTTTTTGGTTTAGGGGAATGTACCTGTGCTGTGGTTGTGCTGGGGCAGTCCTGTGGTTGTGCTTCAGTGCTTAGTCCTGGGCTACTACTGATGCACCAAATACTTCCAGCTTACCAATTAAACTCGGTGAAGCAGCAAATTCTGTATAAGAGAGAGAATTCCTGACTTCATTCAACAAAGCACCCGGAGAAGGAAGCAAATTCCAAATCCTGCCTCATAAAGTCTGAATCTGCATATCCAGTCCTTGGACAGAAATAATTTTTCTCCACAGGTGCTGCTGTTTCGCAGAATCCTCTGTGCTGATACAACCCCTCTTCTCAAATCTTTTGGCTCTGCTCTTCAATCCCATATCTTCTTCAGATCTGGAGTGGCAGCAGGGAGGAGGCAGCAGCGTGGGCTTCCTGGTGAAGCAGAGCACAAGCAACGGGCCCCTGGCTGCCAGCAGGGTTGCCTGCCACCACTGTGCCATGCCAGCGGCACTGCCACCCCTGTTCTCAGACAGCCCAGTGATGGATTGAGTATATAAGATATTTCATGGTTCATTTTTCTTATTGCCACAGGATGTGTCAAAACAGCTAAGTATTGAAGTCATTCAGATGGCCTTTTGTGCTTAAAGGCATCTTCATTTTTTTTTTGTTTGTTTTAATATCCCTTCTCACAGGGAGCATAGAGGGAGGAAAAGCAACTCACTGAATTCTTAAATTTAAGTGCAGGGTATGTTTTCTTTCCACTGCATCCTGATAGGAAATTTTGATCTGCCATATAAGGATGAGAGATTTCTCTTCTGATTTGTTTTCAGGAAGATTTTGGGGGGGGGTGAAAAACTGTCTGGTGTATAGTATAATTTCATGCTCTTAAAAATCCAGATTTTGTCAGAAAGCAAACACCTGAAGCCATGTCTGTAAAATCTGTGTGACATGAAGGATGCAGTGCAGTAAACTCTTACTATTCATCATCCAAAGGACTGGAGGTAGGTTGGTAACAGTCCGCAGTTGTGAATTTTATGAGACAGGATGAATGGCTTTTCCCATCTCTGCACCTAGGGGATCTGGAAAACACCAGGGGATGTCACTTAAAATTTAAGAGCTGTTAGACTTCTGTTTTGCTTACCTCTCAGAAAATGTTGTGGTATTTGGCCCCTTCCTTCTGTTCTTTCCCGTTTATAGTTCTAGAGTTTCTCCCTTGAGCAGTGGTTTGTGGTGAAAATGTGGGCTACTCTAAGAGGAGAGTTAGAGGTTGACTTGGGAAGATAACAGAGTTATTCTCAGTATGAGGAATTAGATATAGGATGAAAGAGATGAGACATGACCTTGTGAAACCCAGCTAGAAATGCTACAATGTCAGGCAGAATACTTGTTGGATTTCTCTGCTCCCTTGGAGATAACATTTCCACATCCTTTGAAAAATGATCTTTTATAAACACATTGCAGCAGAGACAAGGGATGCTACGTTTGTTTTGCTGGATAAATATTTCTTGTAGAAATAATGAAATTGAGGCCATGAATATGTGCACAGACATTTCCAAAGTTTGAGTGTTGTAAAATGGCATGCATCTGTACACTGACCTCTTTGGGCTGCTCCTAATTTGATTCAAGTGCTTTGGTCTTCGGGGAATACTGCACCAGAGGTTGAGACCAGAGACTTGGTAAGGTTCAGCATCATATGGGCATGAAAGCCTGAAGGACCACAGTCCAGAGGAAGAACATCTTTTGGTGCTGACACTTTTCCATGTGAAAATCAGTCCTAGATGACAACCTTGTTGGCATGAGCCATCATTTGCCATAATGCTGACTGAATTTCTGAGAGCTTGTATCTCTAAGCAGACTTATTTGATTTCTCATACTTCTAAAAGGTCAAGAGGAAACCTTATGAGTAGCTGACTGTAAAAACAGAAGGTGAACATGAAAACTAGGGTATTGCCTGCTGTTCGAGATGCTCTAACACATCCTGTGGTATAACAGAAAGGTGTACATATGCAAGTGTGGACCTCCAGCCAATGCAGAGTGAGATTGCTTTGAGGATATCTTGTAGACAAAACTTGTGAGAAACAGGTAAATGAAGTGCAGTCCTGCAGTGACAGGTAGTGAGCTGCCATGCTTGGGAAAAACTGCTTTCTCTATTCCCCCTGGTTACCAGAGTGCCCATTTTATTGTTCTGGTCCAGGCCCTTCATTCCTCTCATCATCTGGCCTGTTTGCAGATGAGTGGACAGCTTCCTGGGGCACATCAGCAGCTACATGCAGTTCTGCCAAAATGTGAGTTAGCCCAAGCAGTGCTCTTTGCTGCAGTGGCCCATCAGTTTCAGGCAACTGAGTTAAGTTCACATGAACTCCGATGTATGAGTGTACTCATGCTGTCCTCAAGCCCTGGCTTTGGTGAGAAGTCTATCAGTGCCTGTATCCACTTAATATTTCTGATAATGCTAATTGTGGTGCTTGCCTGCCAGCTTGTTCTCTAATTACAAATGGCACAGTCTACTTGTACACTGTGTGATGTGCCTTTGTAATCCTTTCCTTTGTAATCCTTTTAAAATTTAAAAACTCTTTAGTGACTCCTTGTTTTCCTGATAATAAAAAGTGTAAAAGTAGTCTCTCAGCTAGAAGCTTCTAGCTGTCTGTCTTACATTACTGTGAACACTGACTTGAAGCTCACAGGTGTAGTTTGTTTCTACAAGGCTTGAAGAAACCAGGCATCTACTCTTTGGGGTCCCAGTGGGACTGGAGAAGCTGCCCTCAGTGAGCTGGCAGTGCTGAGGCTTAGAAGAGGCCTCTTGAAGGGTAGAATGCAGTATTTTTCAAATAACTTTAAAAATCCCACCCAGCAGCAATGATGGAGCCAGTGATGACTATTTTGATTTCCCATGACAAGTTTAAACAATGTAATAAGGATCTGGCAGAACATTGGTTTGCTAATTGTATGCTCAAGTTGTGTAACAACAGTTCTTGGCCAACTCAGAATCGAAAAAAAACTTGCAAAAGCAACTGGACATGAAGCAATGCAGGAAGTTCTTGAGTTGTTTTTCTTTTTCAAGGATATATATGACTTTAGATCCCAACAAATTGGAAAATATGTTTTGAGGACTCTGATGTCTTGACATGTTTCTGCCAGTATAACAGAGAGAAGAGGGATTCAATGCAACATTGCTCTCTGGATGGGATCCATGCTGCGTATTTGGGAGCTTTTGAGTTCTGTTCCATACTTTGATTATTTTTTTTAGGGTGAACTAGTTCCTTGTTTTGTGCTTTTCATTATTGTTTCTTTTCTGCATGGGTGTATCCTCTCATTTTCCATTTTAATTCCCACCCTGGCACCTCAGTCATGGGGTCGTGCCCATGTTGCAGGACAGAGGCTCTAAGCAGTCCTTGCCCGCTGGCAGCACTTCCCCAGGGTCAGTGCCCAGAGCTCACCACCGAGGGCAAAAGGCGAAGAGCTGTAAATAACCCCAACTGTATTTGGAGTTTTGCTTTCTCTGGGAGCCTGACTTTTGCAGAGATGGTGCAAGAGCAGGCAGGTATTTTGCCTTGGCCAGGACATTTCCTGATGAAAGCAGTAATGAATTGTGAGCATGAGCTTTTTTATCAAATTCTCGCTCTCTTGCCTTCAAACTGAGAGCAGAAAGGTTGTGCAGCTTTATCAGGCAGCACAAGGAGACCTAAAGTTCACTGAGCCACTATGACCTAATGCAAATGTGTTTTGATTCCTCAGCTCATGTTGGGCAGCTGCGTTTGTATGAAGAGCTGTTCCTCCACAATTCTTTAGAACATACCTCCAGGGGTGCAGGTGGAGAGGCTGGTTTTTTCTGACCATTCCTGCCACCAGATCGATCTGCTTTCATTAAATAATAACCAAATCAAACAAACTCTCCAGCCTTTCATTTCAAAGACTGCAGCAAACCACACCAAGGTCTCACCAGTCTGCAAAGTAGGCTGACTTTGCAGCTGACTGTCTTACGGTAAGTCAATAATGTAGGGGTTGTTTGGGGTTTTTTTGTTGGCTTCAATGCACACAGGTTGCAAGACATATGGAGAAGTCTTCGGTGGGTTTTGTTTTGCTTTTTCTTTAAGATTTTGAATTACCTCTCTCATGTATTTTTATGGCTGTCGATACGCTTCTGATGCGCTGGTTGGTGTTTTGCTCACTGATGGGGATAAACAGTGTTTTTCTACATGCAGCACAGTGAAGGAATGAAGAAGGCAATTGTTCTATAGGACTTCATCACTTTTCTAAGCTGGCATTGTTGGTGCAAGAAGCCAGAACTCAGGTAAGGGAAAAAAAGGTAATATCTGTTCTCTTCTTGGTCCTCTGGTAGGACTGCGCCTTTCTCTGTCTTCAGTTTTACCATATTTTGGATTTAATTATACTTAAATCTCTCTGAAAGACTTGTTCATTGGTGAGTTTTTTGTGTAAAAAGTACTTCTCACTATGGCAGCTGTGTGAAGACTTACTGCCTTTCTTTACTAAGGGAAGAAGCAATGTTTTGACTTGATGAAATGTCATTTTTTTCTCAGGAAGGTGTCAAAATCAGAATAGCATATGTGCCCAAAAACCTAAAGTAGAAAACAATTTCAAAATTAATTTCAAACTTTTCAAAATTAAATATTTTTGAGTATTGTTTTAAAATAAATACCTTGGTTTTGAAACTTCCTATTGGGTTTTGTTTTTTTTTGAGGTAAACCAAAATTATAATGTTCTACTGTAACAACCTATCAAATCTAGTGTTGATTCCATCTCATGACGAGAGGGGATAAATATTTTTTCTGCAAATTTTTTTTTTTTTAAGTTTACTAAGTGTTATTACTTCCTAAAGACTGCCTATAACCTTCTGTCTCATCAAATAACGTTTGCTTGACTGCTGAAGTGAGAAATAGGCTAGATGTTCTGTTTCTACTGCAGGTAGAAAATTCAGATGAGCTTTGAATATTGATGGTTTGCAGTTTCAACAGGCTAATCAAAACTTTGAGAAGAGAAGATTCACTGCACTAAAACACTTATGTGAGGAGGGCTTAAAGGCATGTGAAAATGAATTGGTTACAGGCTAATAGATGGGGCTACTTACTTTTATGATCTTGTTTGTTGTTTTACATGCTTTTTAGGAAGAGTTCTTTCATGTTTTTATATCTAGAAAATATTTTGGAGAATACTTCTAAGCAGTGAAGAACAATAGCACGTCTTTATTTGTCACATTCAAAATGATTTATGAGCAACTTCTAAAATAGAAACCATGCACAGTCATGGTTAGTACTCCTGATAAATAAGTGGCCAAAAAAACCATTGTGACTTCTGGTTCTCAAAGTTATGAACTGAATTACTGCTAAATGTGTGATTGCCCCTTTCTAGATGCACTCTTTAGTGCCTTTGTGTTGTGAAGCAGATTTATATGCATATTGGAAAAGACATCTCTGTAAGGATACTGGTATGACTGTGATAGGTTTTTGAGTGTTTGTTGCCTGTTCGTGTGCTGTAGATGGACACGTTCACCATGGACAAGACTCTGCTAATGCACCTGGTCCTGCTGAGCCTGCTGACTGGGAGTAGCCAGGGGTGCTACTGTGAACATTACCCGTGGGGGCCATGGTCTGCCTGTTCACAAACCTGCAATTATGGCACACAGACCAGGCACAGGTAGGGCCAAGCTATCTCAGTACTTCTATGTTTCTGTTTATTCTCTGTGAAAATACCAGTTCTGGGAAGGGGGACCTGTGTCTGAAGCTCTGCCTTCCACAGTATGCTGAGAAAAATTGTCATGTTCAAGTGTTTACCAGATAAATAATCATCTTTTAATTGCAAGACTTTAAAATTACAAAATTATGTATGTAGAACATTACTGCCCGTGGTGGGGGGATTGGAACTAGATTATCTTTAAGACCCCTTCCAACCCAGGCCATTCCATAATTCTATGGTACAGTGCTTCCAAACAAACCAGTGTCTGGAAATATACATAGTGAGTACAGCCAGGTCCTTGAATTCAGCCCCTGCAAGCACACACGGCTGGCATTCAGTGCCCTGTGGTGGGAGCTCTATCCAGCACAGAACACTGCCATGGGAGGGGTGACCTCCTGCATGGCAAGCCTGCAGAAACTTCCTCCCTGCACCATTAGTTTTATGACAACAGTTAAAGTCAAAAAAAGATTCAGCAGCATCAGATTGGATGCAGCTCTGTAGTATAATCTAAACTTGTGATAAATCCCCTCTTTTCCTCCTGGCTCTGTCTGTACCTGTCCTCTGGGATGTCTGAAGTGACATGAATCAAAAAGAATTGCTCTTTAAACTTCAGACATATTTGGGTTTTTCTTGTAATCAACATTCTGCAACTGCATATTATGTCTCAACATTTTTAGCTGGGCTCAAATAACTTTGTCAGCTTTCACCCACAGTTAAAGAACACCTACAATCTGTCTATTCTTTCCTAGGATAACTTGTTAATTTTTTTTTTTAGGCAAATAAGAATGGATGAATATTATAGCCAAAACTTCTGTGACCAGCTGTGCAAAAAGCAGGAATCTCGTGCATGTAACCAGCAAACATGTCCTATCAACTGTCAGCTTGGAGACTTTGGCCCTTGGTCAGAATGTGACCCTTGCATTAAAAAACAAGTAGGTAGACTGTTTAAGCAAGAGCAAGTTATGGCATCTCAGCTTAACCATATCATTCTGTATGTTCTAAAGCAAGAAAAATAGAATTTAATCATCTGTTGAAAACAGTTAGCCAACAAATCCTAAGCCCCACTGGCTAGAAATGCTCAGGCTGTATCTTATAGTCAGGATCAGTTTGAGGTTGCTATTAAGAAATACAGAGCACCATTCCCCCAACCTTCACAGTATACACAAAAAACCACCCAGGTGCAAATGTTTACTCTCTGTAGGACAAAGTCCTAGACAGTGATTTTTCCTCTTCGGCTTTTGTCTGTTGACTGATGGTAGACTTAGAGGTGAGACAGTAGAGAGGGAAGAAGTGAAAAGTCATGTTCAAGTGAATTTGAACTATAGAAACAAGCAAACCCTGTCAAATCTAAGGTTGTAGAGGGTAGAGGGAAGTGAAGTGCAGATTGTTTGGGGTAGTTATATGTCTGGTGGGTCTGAGGTTTGAAGCTGACCATGATAGCAGCTCTGAGGTCCTGTGCAGACACAGCCTACAGCTCTCTGAATGTACCCCACAGCTTCAGAAATCAGTTCTTGAAAACCAATCCTGAAACACCTGTCAGACATCATAAGTATATCTTACATATATTACTTTCTGATGCCCATACAGAGTGAGAAAGCTGTTCTAGATGTGAGATGTGAGCCACCCACAACTTCCTGTCTTGCAACTGAGATGGACAGTGTGAGGGCAGAGCAGGAGAAACAGTGAGAGACTGGGAGACAGGCAGTTTGAAGAGCTGGAAGGGAGCATTTTTCTCAATTGAACTGATTTCAATATCCCCTTAAAATCTGAGGGTCTTACCTTGCATCCATATATAAAAACATTAATTTTTACTAATTTTAAGTATTGATGCAACATATATGCTTCTTCAAGCAAAAGGTGCTTTTTTGGACTATAATCCATTTTCCCCTCCAAACTATAAAGATCACTGCTTGTGATCCTTAACAACCAACAGAATGGAGGATGTGATTTACAAGGTAAGAGTGAAGACTAGTGCAAGCAAGTTCCCACTGAGGGAGAGGGATGAAGAAATGGGAGCTCACACAAATAATATAGTCAGTGTTATGGAAATATAGTGTTATGGATCTGGCATGGAGTACAAAGAAGCATCCTCTGAGGCCTGAAAGCCTTTCTGGTGTGGTTCCCCACACTCTCCCTTTATAGTCACTTGGTTACTGGTTCTAGAATCTTCCTCCATTTTTTGTCTCCAGGGAGGGAAGTGACAGAAGTCTGCAAGGGACCATGCTTTTCAATGGAAAGAATTCTTAGAGATGGAACTGTTCAGTCACATGCAGACAGATCTCACCAGAAGTCCCTTGAAGTTAAGTGGAAAACATATCTGAAGTGCTTTGTCTAGAATCCTTCAGCTTTATTGTTCTGCATGGAGGGTACTGACTTGGAGAAAGAAAACCCAGTGAGCTGCAGATTTTGCTCCCAGATCTTTTTTAGTAACAGAAATTTTCCAGAAAATCATTTTTGTACTCCCCAGTCATCCAGTGCTCTTTGGACAAGGGGCCCCACATGTGGGAACCAAGTCAGCTGGTTAGGGGATACATGGCACTGTGCAGACTATTTCTATTTCAATAGAGATGATAAAGAACAGGAAAAAATCTCTGTAAGCTTGTTCACACACACTTTCTTTCTGTACATTTAAAACTGAAGATAGAGAGACTGAACCTTTGATTCCTTCAGTGCTGAAGACCAGGTTATCTACTATTTAATCATGTATGCTCCATCAGGGCTATTGATGCTCTTGGATGTCAATTCCCTGCCTGCCTTACCTGGAATGGTAGAATATAAGGACAAGAATAACTGATTATTTCCTTCAGGGCTCTGGTTTTGACTGATCTTCAGCAGCACTGAGGCGTGTGGCTCTGCCTGGAGCTACAAAACCTGCTCACACAAACAACCCTGGGTTATTTCTTCTGCCTTGCAGTTTCGTACCCGGACACTCCTGCGACCATCCCAGTTTGGGGGTCAGGCCTGTACCGAGCCACTGGTGGATTCCCGCCCATGCTTCCCAACTAAGCTTTGCAACATAGTGGAAGTTGATTGCAAGAATAAATTTCAGTGTGAAAGTGGTAATGATCATCTTAATTGTTTAACTGCTGCATTGTTTAACTGCAGTCAAAAGATTGGACACTGAGACAAAAAAGATCCAAATGATCCAGATCTTTCACATTCCGTGCATAAATTCCAGGGAAGAGGGACCAGGGATAAAAGCCTGTGTAATGATTTTATATGGCTTGGTAGAAGCTTATGTTTACAGTTTCTTTTGTAAGTAATTAAAAATGCGGGGCCCCCGGTGGTCTAGTGTTTAGGATGCGGCACTCTCACCACCGCGGCCCGTGTTTGATTCCTGGTCAGGGGACTTCCCTGGGCAGATGGAGCTCATCAGCACTGTAAGGCCATCCATCTAAGAGAAGGTCACTCTAAACAAACCTACGTCCTGAGGACCTCACTGCCACCGTCCAAGCTCGCTCGGCCCCGGCAGATGAACCTCGGGATTAAAGGGTGGGCTCCGTTCAGTGCACACTGTGTCTCACCTAAAAAATCCACTGTGCAGGCTTGAAGAGTAAAGACCTTTCCCAAATCTTCATTCGCGAAGACTGGCCATGAATTAAAAATGCAATATCTAGCCTGGCATGTCACTATGATCATGATAGCTAAACAGTAGCACTGACAATATTTCTTTGCACAAATTTTTCATGTACAAGCATACCTATAGAGTTTCTCTGAACACAGATTCTCACTATTTTTATTAGGCTTGTGGCAATTTCTTGTTTGCTTCAATTTAAATATACCTGATTAGCCCTAAAGAAACTTTATCCACACATTCTTTTACCAAACTTAAGATTAAGCCTTTGCGGGCTTCAAAACAAGACAAAACTGGCAGAATTGAAACAACCATTTCTAAATTGGAATAATCCAGGCATTATAGTGCCTCACTGCTGACATCTACGGCAAGTTCACACTTTTACTATGGGAAAAGATAAGACTGCCCTTTTCTGCATTCAGACATGATGAATCCTTGCTGTTGCTGTTTCTCTGGTGCAGGTCACTGTATTTCAAAAACCCTGGAATGTAATGGAGAAAATGACTGTGGGGACAACTCTGATGAAAGAAACTGTGGAAGGAAAAAGACTGTGTGTAACCGAAAGTATGAGAGCATCCCTGGTGTGCAGTTAATGGGCAGTGGGTAAGCCAAGTTTGTTTATTTTTTCATAAACTTAAGATTGTTATCTCACTAATTTACATAAAGAAGATAATTCCCAGCTAGCATGTGAGAGTATTCATTCAAACATGTAATCTCTCAAATTAAAATTATCAAGAAATTATAAAAATACAATAAAACCATCAGACTAGGACTTGCCTGCTGCATCTTCCAGTGTTACTCTGGCACTGCTGGTGTAGCAGATGAAGACCTGTCAGGGAGCACTGCCTCTGAGCAACCTGTCCCGTCTCACAGCAGCCAAAATATCATGTATGGGAAACTTCCAACTCTTGGAAATACTTGCCCATGCACCGTGTCAAGTACTTCAGAAATTCTGAGGATGTTCCTCAAAAACTGTTGTTCGTCTGTGTTATGTTTCACATGATACCAACCCCTTCCAGGCTACTAATTTAAGCAGTATAAACTCTAAACATGGGATGCCCGTCCCACGGAGTCTTGCATTTTTAATTGAATTTTCATCTCAGTGTGCTCCAGTAATATCATTTATGGTAGAAATGAACAACTGCTTGTTCTTTTTCCCAGAGTGTTTTTAGGTCTTTCTCTGTTTAAGACTGACTGTCTCATGCTGACATTGGGATTATCAGTAGGATGAGATAGTGCTGGAGGTAGGAAACTGCATTGATGCTACTGCGTTTTTCAGGTGAATTCAATGTGAATGAAAAGTTCTTGTAAAGGAGTTTCTTTGAAGGCAGTAACACAACCCAGATGCTTATGCTCCTACAAAAGCTTCAATATATCTATATATCATGAAATGTTTCAAGTCCGTATGTCCTTCTGGGGTTGTTTAATCTCTGGAAATAATTTTTTGTTAGGTTTCACATTCTGGCAGGAGAGAGCCGAGGGGAAGTCCTTGGCAACTCATTCAATGGAGGACACTGCACAACAGTGAAGCACAATGAGACGAGGAAATCATATCGTGTCCCAGCAAATCTGGAGGCTGTCAGCTTTCAGGTACTCTCAAGCAGCAGCTCCTAGCTAAAAAGCCCTTGCTGTAACCCCAATCCAAATTATGTGCTCAAGTCTTAGGTAGTACTGTGTTTTAGGACAAGATTTCTCAACCTGGTGAGGCTTGAACATGCCTCAGTTGATGTGTGGAAGTGGGATATGTTTTGTGGCTCACTGAATCATATATCAGAGTCAACATGATTGATTTGAGCTTCTCCTGCTTCCCTGTGGCTTTGGATGTGTCTTTGTTCTGATTTGGTGCCAAGGACATCATCTAGCCAGAGGCTTGTTCAAGTCCAAAGCTTATTCTACCATCACTACTGTATCCTTGAAGTACAAAAGGCTGCAGCTCCTAACTCCAGCTTCCTTCCTGTCAGCCTTGGGACAGAGTTCCTCCCTGAGCCATTTCAACCCCTCAGTTCCACCTGTTCCGTGCTGAGCCCTTTCACAGAGCAGCAAAGAAAGAAGGCAGACACCACGTTTGGGAGAGGAGGCTTGCAGGACAGGTCAAGGGCAAAATGAACCTGGTTTGTATATCATAAAAAATCTGGGAACTACTGATTTGTCATTTTTTGTTACACATTGATATTTAGAAAGTACTTTGAATAATATGTTTGGGGCACAACATCTGGCTGTATACATATGGGCAGGCCCTGAAGCCAATAGGTATTTTGCACTGAGGAGAGAGTGCAGGTCGAGGAAAAAAGCTCAACTAATGGATGAAAACTGAACTCCTGGGTTTTGTCACAATTGTGTGGTGTTAGAATTACTTTAACAGGAGCAACTGAACAAAGGATACCTTACTATGCTCAATAGAAACTGCAGTTAAATCGGCCATGACATGTAGACTTTGTCAATAATGGAGAAAAATTACTGTGGGCAGAAATATTCAGAGGGGAAAACCAATCCTTGGTTTGCCCAGGTCTCTTTATAGCTGTGAGGTTCATTAAGTTACTTATGTCAATTTGCAGGACTATTAAGAGTTTGTGAATCTCACCTTTGAGAATGCATCTGTATCTTCTAACATTTAGAGCAGCTTTTGGTATAGAAGTGTCCTTATAGAAGGAGCAGACCTTCTTCTTGGAACTCTGGTGTATGACTTGTAAAACAGAAGTGTATTGGGAGAATGGACCACCTCACCTCCAAAGGTCCTTAGGAGCCCTATTAATTAAACAAGTCTAGAGGAGGGAAAAAAAAATCACATCTTTCAAAATTCCATAGGGATTTGCCTGAATTTTGGAAAATAAGTAATTTCTAATCTGATGCTAAAGTTGTCTTGGTGCTTTGCCCAATACCCCCACTAAGGTTTATCAACTTGATTAGGCGGGTTTGCTCACAGTTCCTCGTCACCTGCACTTAGACCATCATGTAGTATGGGTGAAACACTCCAAATATACTCTAAGGCTCTCCTCTGGAAACCTATTCATTCTTCTAGCTGGGAATTAAGAGAAAAGGTCAGAAAACATCAAGCTAGAAGCCACAGGGCTGGAAAGTAGTCATAGTGTGGACATAACATGAATGTCTGAAATTCTTTCAAAAGTATGTTGAAATGCTTGTCGGAAATTATTCCTAAACTTTGGGGCATGGGGGTGGGGAATTTTACAAGAAAGTGTTACATGTTTTTTTGTTGTTGTTGTTATACAAATGCCTATTAGAATGTCTGCTTCTTGTGTTCATCGTGCGTATTAGCCTTTCTCAGCCTCATCTTTTATTTTCAGAACAGTTTCATAGCTTACTTCCGGGTCTCATATAATCAGACATGTTTTTGCCATTAATAGAAAAACAAAAAGAAATCAAGAATTCATTTCTTAATAGGCTTCTGCTTTAGGTTATTGTCTGGGCAAATGTATTTTGCTTTACTGAATCTCCAGGTAGTAGATGAAGAGGATGATGTCACATCAGACTTCTACAAGGATTTAACTCCCCTGGGTGATACTGTTTCTCGAAGTAGTTCATCCAGTCATGGTGCTCGAAGATCTTCTGGTATACCACTTTTATTCTCAAAAAAGACGCGGGTTCAAGTTACATCATCTTCCTCCTTCAAGAAAGCTATTAAAGCCTCATATGAAAAGGTAATTAAATCTTGTCTTAGTTTCTCTCTTTCGATTGATTTCTGTCTGGTCATTTCAGAACTGAGCTACCGAAGGCTACTTTCCTTATCAAGGCATTGGCCCACTAGAATTATACATTAGAAAATTCCTCTTCTGATACCACAAGATGTTCTTGGTTGCAACATACCTTCTATAATGCAACATGGTTTTCTGTGTTTAGTACAGAAATCATAGGCTTATTCCATTTTAAAAAAACAGATTGGGTAAGCCACTCCTTTTCCTATCCTAATTATAGATTAAGAGGGCACAATACCTAACAGTAGCAGACAACTCTAAAAATAAAGGAATGTCACTCATTAATGTTATACATATGCATGTATTAAGTATTAATCTACATTAGCTCTTTATGTGGTAACTAACTTGCATATTGGAGTCTCGTGTTAGCCAAGACACACTTGCTCATAAAGATGATTTCAGAAATAACACATCCACAGAAAAGTTTCTCTCAACAGAAAACATTTTTCCTTAAGGTTCTGCACTTTTAATGCAAGTGAATACTACGGAGTATAAAATTATGTACTTTTATAGTTTAAAAGCAATAAAGGATGGGCTATGGGAAAGGCCACAGGACTGAACAAATCTAAGGACTGTTGAAACCCAGAAGTTCTAATGCAACTAGAATGGAGGGGGGAAGGGCAGAGGAACTAGATGATCTTTAAGGTCCCTTCCAACCCAAACCATTCCATGATTCTATAAAATAACATAAACCCACCAATAATTTCATCTGGTGTTGGCTAAAGACAACGCAAGTTAAAATCCCTTCTTAGTGGATCCATAGCAGGAGTTTTGAGTCTTCCTCATGTTCTCTGCTGTATCATACAGTAAGCCTGTATGTGTGTGTGTATGTACGCACGTGTGTGTATGTAAATAAATAAGTAATATTTGTATAAATTTTATTAATGGGTGTGTGTAGAAAGATATGTACTTATGTATGTTTGAGAGACCTAAAAAGGAATTTTTAATACTTTCCTAAATAGTGCAAATAGGAGTTTATATTGATAACTTAAAAGGAGGGGGAACTTACCTGGGCTTTATGAGGTCACATTCAGACCTATATGTTAAACTGTGTACATAAAAGTTTCACCTGAACGTTCCAGGGTCTTTAGAAGGTCCTAACCACTTATGCCTTTTTCCATATTGACATGGAAGATATAAGAAAACTTGATGGTTTTTAAGTTTATGTTTGTTTACCAGAAACTTTCTTTAGAGCTAAGTTGTCTGGTCCTCCAGTATGTCTTCCTAATTTCTGGTCCTTTAATCATAGAATCATAAAATGATAGAATAGTTTGGGTTGCAAGACACTTTTAAAGACCATCTAGTCCCACCACCCTGCAGTCAGCAGGGACACCTTCAACAAGACCAGGCTGATAAGAGCCCCGTCCAACCTGGCCTTGGATGTTTCCAGGGATGGGGCATCCACCATCTCTCAAGGCAATCTGAACCAAAGTTTCATCCTTATCCTAAAAAATTTCATCTTTATATATAGTCTGAATCTACCCTCTTGAAACCATTACCCCTTGTCCTACCACTGCAGACCCTACTCAAAGGTCTGTCCCTATCTTTTTTATAAACCTCCCTTGAGCACCAAAAGCTCACAGTAAGGTCTCCCTGAAGGCCTCCAAACTGAATAACCCCAACTCTTTCATTCTGTGCTCATAGGAGGAGTGCTCCAGCCTTCTAATCCTTTTTCTGGCTCTTCTCTGGACCCACTCCAACAGGCCCATGTCTTTCCTGTGCTAAAGACCCCAGACCTGGATGCAGAACTCCAGGTGGGGTCACACAAGGGCAGAGTAGAGGGGCAGAATCACCACTCTTGACTTTCTGGCCACGCTGCTTTGGATGCAGCTCAGAACACATTTGGCTTTCTGGGTTGTGACTGCACATTCCCAGCTCATGTCCAGCCTTTCATGCACCAGCACCCTCAAGTCTTTCTTGCCAGGGCTGCTCTTGATGGGTTCTTCTCCCAGTCTGTACTCATGCCTGGGATTGCCCAGCTTGCATGCAAGTGCATGGTAAAATCAACTAAGGATTTAGAATCAATATTAGAATCAATTTAGAATCAAAGTGATCTGGAATTTCGTGTCATAACTGAAATGTTAGCTGGCACTGCTCAAAATTCAGAAAGTGTGGTGGAGAAGAGCATCATAATCCAACAGAAGAAGCAATGTATAAATAAGTAATTGTATAAAGTGCTTTATAATGAATCTTTCGTATCTGCTGTTTGGTCATTTGCTCCTGTTTCCTGCCCCTGCTTTTTCTCTTGATCTCTTTGCTTTGGCCTTGGGATATCAGTTTCCTTTTTCACTTTAGAAATCCCTTTTTTCAGTATTTGCTATTCCTTTCCTTTCTGTTTAGTTCAACTCCCACATAAACAGTCTCTAGCATTGAAAAAACACAACAAGCTCTTTCAAAAGCATATATTTTTCCCTACATGTAAGAGATGTCCCTTCCAACTCAGGATATCGTATGATTCCATGTTCCCAGCATTTGAACATTCTCTTTTTACCTCTCATTAACAGCTTGACACCTGAACTCAATAAGGTCTTTAACCCTACAGTTTCATTTTAGTTTTAGTAGATTGATAAATTGTGGAACTTTATAACAGTGAGTTAGGATCCAAAATACTCACTTCCAGATTAGTTGCAAATAACCCATAGATCATTATAAGGTGAAGCTTTTCCTCTGAAACTTGTGGTTGTCTGATCAATTGCTGGTGAATTTTTTTATGGCAAGAATCCTTTTGGATTGGTATTTGCCTGATGAGTCCTATTTTTTTATTGGAATATAAATATTGGAATATTGGCTATATACTCCGAAAATGTAAGGAAGCCTTCAAGAACCTCACAGAACTCTTGGAAAACCCACAGCTAGTTTGTTCATGGTTAGAGCATCATGATATACAGGATTATTTAGTTCTTGCAACGTATATCAGGATATACTCTTGGTTCCTCTACTTTCTGCACTTAACTCCCTCTGAAGGTGCTAAGACTGCCCTTTTCTTATTTCTAGAATTCCAACTTTATTAGAGTCCATAAAGTAATTTCTGTTGCAAACTTCACAATGAAAGAATCAGATCTGCATCTCTCAGACGTCTTTCTAAAAGCACTTAACCACCTGCCCCTGGAGTACAACTATGCTTTATACAGCAGAATATTTGATGACTTTGGCACTCATTACTACACCTCTGGGAAGATGGGTGGTTCCTATGACATTCTTTACCAGTACAGCTCTGAGGAACTGCAGAACTCGGGTATGTAATCTTTAACAAGAAAATATTTGTTTACCAGTTTTTCTTATCACTGCTTTTAGGTCTTACACCACATTCTTCAACAGCAAGAAATTCTTTAGACTGTCACAGACATAGGAATTACTCACCCTGCCTACATACAGAGCAAGAAGAAATTTTTGCTCTATGCTGTCTTAATTTGAAAAGTTCAAGAGATTCTTTATTTGGTAAATGTCACTGTGTTCAGGGAAGCCACTTAAGACATTCAGATAAAGACCACAGGTCACCAGAAAAAGGTATTCCAGCATAGAATTGTGTGGGACTCAGAGGTCTAAGTGATACTTTTTGAGATACAGTTAATAAAGTTTATGGTATGCATTAGAAATTATTCTAAAATTTTCTCATGACTGCCACACTGTCAAAATGAAAAAGCAATACCACAGAAATGGAAATCAGTCCAACACTCTTTGTACCTGGGGAAGCAGTTGCCTGCAGAAGTGAAGTTTCCAGTGGTGGGTGAGGAGCACGGAAACCTGCTGGGTCACCTCAATGTAGGAACCTGGGGGCAGGATGCCTGCCATATATCATGGTTACAGTGATGAAGCTGCTGCTCTGTGTTATTTCTAGGCCTGTCAATTGATGAATCAACAGAGTGTGTCCGAACAGAAACCACCAAGCGTGTGTTCTTCCGGAAGAAAAAGAAAGTCAGTACCAGATGCACCACAAATAGGATGACTGTGAGACATGAAGGTGACCATGATGAGAACAAGGACCATGTTCTGTTACTTACCCTGAGAGATACCATCCCTCTCAGCTGCTCCAGATGAGCAGCTTTGTTGAGCTATGGATACTCTTCCACCACTGTCAGAGGAGCCAGTATTTCACTGTCTGCATCTGATGCAAGCACTGAAATCATCACCTTACTTGTAAATGAAATTATGGTGTAGGAGCAGTCTTCCTCTGCTCTAGAACACCATTATTGGGTAACCCGTGGCACTGGCTCTCCAGTCAGTCACGGATCTGACAAACATTCCCCATGGCCTTGGGTCCAGGGCCGGGCATGCTAAACTGGAAGATAAGCACAAGTAGAAATAGATGTTCGTAGCTGAGCCCCTGATCTTCTTTAAGGGTTGATCAGGGCTCATTGAGAGAATTGGGCAGCAACAACACAGTACCTGATCTTCCCCTCCCACCTTCCTTATGCCAAGCAGACATCTAGGTATAGGAGTGCCAGAAATGTGTCTCAGAAACTGCAGAAAGCTGGTGCATTTTCCACAAGAATGGCAAGAGTCATGTTCTTCATCACTAAGAATAGGGATTTCATCCTGTCCACCATATTTTTGTCCTCATTAGTTGATCAATTTCTGTTACTTAGGTGTTTACAGCTAGGACTAAATATCCTGCCTTGCAGTGTGTTCTAGAGGAGGCATTTTCCACGACTGTCTTATGCAGTTCTGAATATCTCCATGGCTCATGTCTCAAACACAAGTGGAATCTTATGGCAGGCTGCTGTCATAGTGTCATAGTGGGGATTGTTTTTCCAAGCTTAGACTTCATTTTTCCAAGGGTAGCTTCAAAAAATAAATCTTACTGTATTCTTTTATATCCTTTTACACTTTTTCTTAGAACTCTGTTGTTACATCCGCTGTCTTTGGAGGCCATTGTCTAAAAATACTATTTAACCATTTCAGGTTCCATTTTGGAGTCATCAGAACGGTCAGTCTCCCTAGTAAAAGGTGGCAGGTCAGAGTATGCAGCAGCTTTGGCCTGGGAGAAAAAGGGAGCTTTTCCAGGACACACAGTCTTCACAAACTGGCTGGAATCAGCAAAGGACAATCCTGTGGTGATTGACTATGAGGTAAGAGAAGAATAAGAAAAACACTGAGATAGCAATGATTCATGAGTTAGCAGCTCTTCAGAGAGCTCTGCAGGTGCTCTTTCATGTAAATAGAGATGATGCTGTGTGTGATATGAATGCACATACATACAGGATTAACATAAATATACAAAATATTTTTTAGGACTACTTGTTTGGGTTTATAAGCCACAGCAGGTTTGCATGGTCTGTGGACAGTGGGAGTAAGACCGAGGAGTATGAATTGATTGCTCTGGCACCAGCAGGGTGGCATGGGCAGGGGTTAGTTACTGTGCAGGAAAACAGTGCATGATGCTGGAAATGCTTTTTTCCCCTGTAATCATTCTCTTGTAAGGCATATGTTGCAGAGTATGTCAAATTAGTGAACTGAAAAAAAACCAGCAATCCCCTGTGTCTCTGTCCTGCTCATTCAACCCAGCATGCCACTGCTCCTGTGAGTGCACTGAGCTGTCTCCCTCCCTGGCTGGCACAGCAGCCCCTCAGCAGCAGAAGCAAAGCATTTGAGGCAAAAAGCAAAACCTGCCTGAATGCAGCATGCAGTGAGGTTTCTCCCGCTGCATCTGCTGTGCTCCTGAAAGCAGTGTAGGGAAGTCTGACATGGCAGACTCTGGATGTAAGCAAACCCCATATCATCTATAGTGTCCTCAATTTTAAGACATAATATCACAGAATATGCTGAGTTGGAAGGGATCCAGAAGGATCATCGAGTCATGCACGGGACCATCCCTAAGAGTCACACCATCTACCTGAGAGTATCGTTCAAATGCTTCTTGAACTCTATCAGGCTTGGTGCTGGGACCACTTCCCTGGGGAGCGTATTCCATTGCCCAACCACCCTCTGGGTGAAACACCTTTTTCTATTATCTAACCTAAACCTCTCCTGACTCAATTTCAGGCCATTCCCTTGGGTTCTGTCACTGCTCACAACAAAGAAGAGATCAGTGTCTTCCCTTCCTTCCCCTCATGAGGAAGTTGTCACTGCAATGAGGTCTCCTCTCAGCCTCCTCCAGGCTGAACAGACCAGGTGACCTCAGCCACATCCCACTTGGTTGATTTTCCTGTGGTTCACAGAGCCCTAAATTGGGGATATAAAAAGCAGTATGAATGGGATAATAAAAGCAGTATGAATGGGATAATATAGATGTATAGCACTGTCATGCTCCTTTAAAGTATCCATAACTTTCAACATATCCAACTCCTGTGTGATATAGCTTCACATGTAGGCTCTAGTGCCTTTAAAATCCTTCTGCTACACCCAGAAGGACCCTGCCATGTTAAGGTAGCTGCTTACTGAACTTGTCTACCAGGTGTCGCCCATTGTGGATCTGGTGAGGAACGTGCCGTGTGCTGTGACCAAACGCCGCAACCTGAGGAGAGCCCTGAGGGAATATGCGAGCAGGTTTGACCCTTGCCAGTGTGCCCCATGCCCAAACAATGCCAGGCCTGTGCTCTCTGGGACAGAGTGCCTTTGCCTGTGCCAGGCTGGCACCTATGGCAAAAACTGCGAGACACGAGCTCCAGGCTACAAATCAGGTATTTGGGGTGATGGTGTCATAATGTAAACATGGTCCTTCTGGCATCCATTTGTCAGTGATTAATCTGACATAACCTTCCCTTACTAAATCCATAGCACTTCTTACCACATGCCAATGTCCACAAAGTATAGGAATAAAGGTAGGATTAAAGATAAAAGAATCAAACTGAATAAACACATCTCAAAAGATATAAGACAAAAGATTCCTTAGCTACGTGATTAAGATAATAATGAATGAGTTGTTCAGCGATAAGGGTGAAGTTGAGATCAAAGATTATTGATGCAAAAATTAAGAAACCATTCCTTAGTTTTCCCTATAGTGTATTATGCTTAGGACCAAATGGCTAATGAAGATAAAAACTTTTGATTATAGTATAGAAGGAAAACACAGTTGTCATAAGGAGAGGGAACATAATCATCGTTCTGGAGAACTTAAAGAACAGTTTAATGCAAAATCATTTTTGAATGAAATTGGCACTAGTGCCATACCCATGGGAAACATATGTTTATATTCCAGGACCAAAAGTGGACAGAATAGAAAGTCACTTATGTAGCTACAGGTCTCATTATCTGATCGTGATAAAGAAATATTTTGAAAGAAATAAACAGCTGAAGATACACAGTTAGAAATGGATGTAGAAAGTATACTGTATGCTGTAAAGAAAGGGTGTGTACGGATAACATATGCCAGGGGTTAAGAGAAGTCAGTAGTAGTAGTGTTTTAATTTAACTGGTGTGGGATGTAGATTTGGGATTTAAACATGGTGTTAGAGCTCATATTTATTTAAAAACTCATTAAATACTGACCTATCTCAGAATGTTGTCAGCATCATGAAAACTCACACACCTGTATGTGCAATAAAAATAAAAAATAAGCTGCTGCTGGGTTTGGATGTTACTTGCAATCAAAACTAGAAGGGTAGATATATTTTAGGTTTTCATGAAGCAGTTTGGAATTTGGGTGGCCACCTTTTGGAAAACTTGGCACTTTAGATACAATTTACTCTATTAACCGTAACACTTTTAAATCCTTTGAAAAAGGCTATTATGAATTTACCATCATCTGTCTTATATGTGGCCTTAAAAGAAATATTGTATATGGTACAGATCTGCCAAAAGATGGTGTTTCTTTTGTTTCTTGCAGTTGCTGTAGATGGCAGATGGGGTTGCTGGTCTGAGTGGACTTCATGCGATGCTTCCTTCAAAACAAGAAGGACGCGAGAATGTAACAACCCCTCCCCAATGAATGGTGGGAAGCCATGTGAAGGAGAGAGGGAAGAAGTGGAGGACTGTTATGTCTCTGTGTTCGCAGACAGGTAAGAAAATAGTAGATCAAAAGAAGTCCATAGTCATGGGACAACTAAGAAGCCCTCCAGAGTAGCTCTTTGACTGTCAAGGAGAAATAGCAGACAACACTACTCTCTGAACTCTTGTGGTGGAGCAGAGAGAAGGAAAAGTCTGAAAATCTCTGCAACTTGATGCAAATTTGGTTTTATTAATTGTTTATTCCTAGAAAATTGCTGATGAATTGGATACTGAAGTATGCCTGCAGTTCTCATATGCTGCTTTGCACAGCTTTTTGTCTAAAGTCATCTGCTTTAGTTCATGAGAGTTCACAATTTCCGGTTTTTTACTATCACATCCTCTTCTCTTAGCAATTTATATCCGAACACAGGCTCAGAATTCCAATGAAGCTACTAAGCTTTTCATATTCCCACTTTAAGTATGCCTGATTTACTGGTTTTGCATAGTTTTAACTTCAAATTCTAGTCCCGAACTGGCTTAGGTTTTTTCATTTTCAAGTGCAAGGCTTCAGTCTTTCTGCTGGGACCAAGAGCTGAAGCAAGATTTTCACTATCCTTGCTGTAGTGGCTGCAGAGGAGATTCCAGAGAGAACAGGAGAGGATTATAAGCACTGGGTTCCACGGTTCTTTGTAATTCATCTCAGTTAGACCCTGTGGGCTGTACAGCTCCATGCTGACAGAGACCAGCCTCCTTTAACCACTGCCTGGTGGCAACAGAATTACAGGGACTGCTTAGAGACTTCCTGTTATGCTGTTCTTTGACTCTTTTTCTTACTCTATAAAAATATGTATTTAATTATGTTGATAGATGTATTTAGTACTTTTTTATTGCTCTCACATTCTTCCTCCTATCAACACCTGCAGTTTTTTGTCTACAGTCTTTTATTTGACAGAATAAAGTTTTCTCACTGTCAGGGAGGGGGGACAGGACACACTTGCATCTCTCCTGACGAACATTCCTGACATTTTGCCATTGTTATTTGGTGACAGCAATGCTTCAGATACATCCTTACAGCAAATTTTCCCTTTTCAGAGGTGCTCCTTGTATAAATGATGATGAAGCCAGAAGAGAAGAGAATGTCTTGACTGGTGAACCTGAGTCTGGATGTTCCAGGCCAGACCCACCAGAATATGGCTTTATCAGGGTGAGCATGAAAAACAATACAGAAGCAAAGTATAGTAGTTGCAGACATGGGAAATTTTACAGCTTCTTTGCCCGATATCCAAGCTAGCTATTGCGCTTGTGAGTGTGTTACTATGTATGTGGTGTTCTATGGGACTCTAATCCACCACAGTACATCAGCAACTGAAGAAAGTCAGGGTAAAACCCATTTCAAGTGGTCCTTGAATTCTTGTTTTGTAATCATGACATCAGTTAGTGCAACTGGACAAACTTATTATATTGGTGAATGGATGACTCCTATTCCAGGGTAAGAAAAGCGAATTCATTACATCTTATCAGCGTTTTGCCACTGTTTCCTTTGACAATTTCCAGTCTCATTACCATAGATTTTTGAGGGACTTTCTGGTTTCTTTTTTCTTTTTTTTTTTTTTTTTATTTGTAGAATGAAAAGAACCAGTATGCTGTGGGAGAAGAAGTTGAAATTGCCTGTGTGAGTGGTTATAGCCTCATTGGCTATCAATACCTTTGGTGTCTGCCAGATCAAACCTGGACACAGCAACATGTTGAATGCCAACGTAAGAAAGGAAACTAATTTAGCCCAGTAACAAAATAGAAGTGAAAGAAAAAGACATGAAAAAGATTTTAATACAGGTTTTAACAAGAGAATCTGTACTGACATCTGAAAAGGTTGCATTTTAAGAGGGTATTTCATGTAGAGATGGCAAAAATATACTGAGTCACTACATCGGTTCTCTTTCAATTCAGAAGTGTTACTATTATGCTCTTTGTAAGGATATTGTAATATCCAGTGCATTAGAGAACTCTCAGATGGATGCTATGAGGTCCTTCTCTTGTCTAGTTTTAAATACCTTTTACAAAAGGACTCACCTTTTGTTTTCAGACTTCAGATATCTTTAGGTTGATACAGTTATGATGAAGAAACTATTTGTATAGAAATTTGTCTACTATTTTTTATATTAAATGGATGATGTGTCTTTAACCATGACCTCCCAGGCTGCCTTGAGAATCTCCACTATAAATCAATGCCTTGAAGTATTTATAGTGCAGTTAAGATTTAGAGATCAGAACTGGCCTGTATTTGCTAGCAGGAGAGATTTCAGTAGTTTTCTAGAACTTGATGTGATTTCATTGACTTAGTGTTCATTTTAACATAAAAAAAGTTACTTGAGTATACTTAGGAGCTTTCTATTGTCATTTTGTTTAATTTACAAAAGAAAAATTAAAATGTGTTGTTAATGCCATCCCTACTATTTTTAAACTGCAAAGTTAAATTACTCACATTGGCATACATTAGAAACATTATTGTAATTATTTAGTTATTACTTTAAAAATATTTTAAAGGCTATGGCAGTGCAATGAAAATTTCTTGGCTTAATTGTGTTAATTTTTTATTGGTTTTGAATGTCAATCAAATGTTCAGTGTTACTGAATGTCTTTATATGGCTCTTCAGATAAAGCATTATGACTTGCTGTAAATATTCCACACACCATAAACACAACAAGAACTATGTTTTTTTTTATTGTTTATTACAGCCTCAGTATGCCTCAGGCCACCAATATCTGACAATGTCACAATTTCCCCATTTAAGCAACAGTACAATATTGGAGACACCATGAAGCTGAGCTGCCAAGCTGGGTTTATAGTCAGTGGTCACACAAGGTATACCTGTGAGAAAGACCTGTCCTGGATACCTCCTATTTCAAGGGCTATTACATGTAAGAAAGGTCAGTATGCCTGCAGATACTTCACTGTTTCTATATTGCTGGTATGAAAAGCACTGTTTATTTTAGCTAGCTGGAACT